CGATGAAAACGGCCCTTCGAAAAGGAAGCTACCGAACATTGAACGTTTACTTCCAAACCAATCTTCAAGCCTCGCCTGGACAAGCAGGACGCGCTCTCGGGTATAGGGGTGCAGCTACCAACAATGACTTGGCATCAAGCGTTCTGGGATTCTGCACCTTGCCCGATCCGAGTGTCAATGCCAGTAGCCCGGCTTCTCACTATGTCAAGGATGGCTGCAATATTTTGGCCAACACAATGCCCGGTGGCTCCCTGGATCTCTACAACCGAGGTGGAACTGCCATTCACGAGATTGGACACTGGAATGGCCTTTTGCACACATTCCAGGGGGAATCTTGCTCAGCAGACAATGCTGGTGACCACATAAATGACACGCCACAGCAGTCCACCCCGACAGATGGGTGCCCTGAGCAGAAGGATTCGTGTCCGGACTCCCCCGGACTGGACGCGGTCCACAACTTCATGGATTATTCATCTGATGTATGCTATGAGCGCTTCACGCCCGGACAAGGAGAGCGCATGCGGAGTATTTGGATGTCTATGCGTGAAGGGAAATAGCGGGGAAGTGACTAGCAATAAGTCCAATGCAAGCTCACTATGGAGTCCATCCGCAGCCATATGTACACCCCGGAGACCGCAAGGTCAGAACCAAACCAGCCAGCTAAGTTAGTTGGTTGCTGCGATTTGGAGAAATGCTACCCGTCTAAAAGACCCGTTGAACGAATATCATGCGTGAATATTTTGGATACAGTACAGTTAAGAGAAGTTAAGAGACGTTAAGAGACTAGTTTCCTCCCGACCAACACCATAGATGTGTCTTGCTCTGATTTCTCACCCACCGTGGGCCCGAGTCGAATCGTACAAGGATTTGAAAGGCCAATCAAGAGATGCAAGGCGTACGTAGCCCAAACTTACCTTGCCCATAGATTGGAACACAAAATGCAAGAAAGGAAGCAAGAAAAAGAAAAGCCGTTTTGATTCCTCCAGCGGCAACGAAATGGTCGATTAGCGCTTGCGTTTTATTCCGCGGTCATTGTCATCATGGTCGGTCTCCTTGTCTTTACGTTTCGCCTTTTCCTCAAGTGCGTCCCAGTCCTCACCACTCTCCTCGTCGCCGCTGAAATCCTCCTCGCTGGCATCGGCACTCGCGTCATCATCAAATTCGCTGTCTTCCTCAGAACTCTCGTCTCCAGCTGCAAGCTCCGAATCGGACAACTCGAAAGCCGATTCCTCTTCCTCATCTGAACCGTTCTCCGAGTCTGATTCGGCCGACAAGAAAGACCACCCGCCATCGGCAAAGAAGCCGTACGGATCGCTAACGACTGTTTTCATAATGGTGGTCCAATTCAGGTTGAGCGGACCCTCGGTGAACGCAATATCAACAGAATCAAGCCAATCCTTAACACCCTCAAGCGCCTCGACAGGAATCGTGTTAATATGAACGGGAGTCCGGCGGAAATCCTTGAAAACGAAGACCATGTCGAAGTTTTTGAGTCCAAACTGTGCACGATTTAGTAAACCAAGTCGACAAAATAATGATAAGCAGAAAACATTACCTGAACTCTCTCCAGATGGGCGATCTCGATTTCATTCAAGGTGACAGTCGTGAAAGGAGGTTCGGTGAGTTGAACTAGGGCATCCGTGGTCGGTTGAATCAAGACATTGGACCGGTTTGGAACGCCAGTAAAGCCAATTTCTCTGAATGGGATATCGACGTCGACACCCTCATCCTTGCCAGCGTCCGCAATCTTCTCGGCAAAGGCTTTGAACTCGCGGTCCAACGCAGCTCTCCGCCGTCTTTCCTCCTGCTCAGCCTCAAATTCTTCCTCATCTCCGTAGCGGTGTTTGCGCCGACGGTTTCCAGTCTCATCAAATTGCATTTCCGTGGCCTCGCGATAAAATTGAATATCCTTTGTCTTGCGCTTTCCGATCATGATAGGCGTCTTGAGATGAACATGGATGAGAACGATCAATTCATGGGCACAAGGTTGGAAGAACAGATGCTTCACATTGCTGAAAAGCACGTCGACATGCTCATTGCGGAAGGGCGATAGATACCGAAGTCCATTCTGATGAATCTCAACTTCACCTGGAACACGCTTTCCATCCAAAGGAGGTCGGAGGTAGACGTCGGGGAGTTTCACTGGGCGTCGGTTCCTAATTTCAACCAGTTTATCCTGCTCAACAACATCTTCCAATTCCTTTTTCTCCTGCTCTCGCCTCAACGCCGTCTTGCGAAGTTCGGTGATATCCTGGGCGACTCGTGCAAGCCGGTCATTATCCTTGGACCGGAGAGTGAGGTTGCGGACAAAATGAGCTGACAAGTCCTCAAAGGGCTGATCATCCTTTCGGCCTACACCCTGACCTGGAGACAGGAAGTTGATGCGTAGATAGGCGTATTCTCCTTCGTCGCTTTTGCTGGCGTTCTTTATGGTGTTGATATGGAAGGGAACTGGTCGGCCCATGATAGGCACAATCACGGTTGAAGTCTTTTGGTCGACGTAAACTGTAAGGTCTTTGACCTTAGCAGGCAGTTGGTTGTCTCGCTTGTAAGACTCAAAGCGCTTGAATTTCTTCTGTGCCACCCCATTGTCGTCTCCTGTAGTGCCGGTGAACCGATCCAAGCCTTCCTTTGTCTTCTTCAAGGCCAGCTCTTTCTGATGCTCTCGACGACGAGCTTCAGCTCCCTCATTGACCTGAGTTGGTCTTTCAGCACGAAGTTTGGTTCTTGTGACATTTCTGCCAGCGGCCGCGCTAGACTTCGTCTCCTTTTTCTCCTTCACAGGCTTTTCGGGCTCTTCTTCATCCCCGAAGTAAAATGAAATCGAGTCCATGTCAATACCGGCGTCTTTGGTGAAAATATGAGGCCCACTTTCTCCGACACGAACTGTATCGGTGATGACCATAGAATAGGCACCATTCCTGCCATTCTTCGAGTCTGGATCCTTCACATCAGTCAGGCCGATCGTGATAGATAGCGTCATGCCGTTTTTCAAGACGCGGTTGTTCTTGGCATTGAGGACCATATTGGCATCCCGGAGCTCAATTCCAATCCCTGCGCCAACGTTCTTGACAAAGTGTCCCTCCAGCTCGGGCTTCTTAGAGCGGACAAGGCTCAGTGCCTTGTTGTAAACGTCCTTAGCGACCACACCATCCCGAACCTCTTTCATAGTTGCTTCATGGAGACTCAGTAGTAAGGCGTAGTTTGCTTCTTGTGATTTGGTTGGGTCAACCAAGTAAGTACGCCCAATGAGGGAACTGTAAGTCTTGTATCTGATTCCAAAGCTGGATAAAATGATGCCGGGTTCGAGGTTTTTACTGTCGGGGGTCGCTGTGAGCTTGATATCGTAGGCGCCTCCACTTTGGATTACAGGCCCGTAGGCCCAGTCGATTTGCTGAGGATCAAATTCTGAGGGCAGCCGCGCCAGCTTGTTGAAAAATTTTGCATCGTCAATCTTTGCATCAACCTTTGCAGCCAGAGCCTTATGGGTCATTTTCTTTTCTTCGTCGAGCAAACGTGACATCTCATCAACAAAGTATTCTGACATAAGGCCACTGCAGGCTCTGGAAGCATTGCGGATTGAGACCTTTGGGACTGTATCAGCAAACACCACTCTTTAAACGCGCTGGCATAGATAAACCAACCAATTCATCAGAATCTTTGATTGCAAAAGCAGCGGAGAGCGCAGGTGCTATGTCAACTTCTTCCACTTCTTTCGATATTTCTGCAAATGCGCGTTTCCATTCATCTGCGAAGGGCCCTGAAGCTGCGTTTTTGGGCAAGGTACCGACTTTGTTCTGTGGTTGTTGTGGTTAGTGGAAGACAAATCATACCGGTGATTCAACGGTAATTTTCTAGCTCACCCCTGCGCCCTTGATAACATCCAAGCATTTCTCAAATGCCTTGGTCTTTGATTCTGGGTCTTTGGTGGTGACCAGAATCTCAACGGGAATCTTTCCTTCTTTCAGCGGCTCGAGGTGTTTCGCTTAAATTTTGATTTAATCAGCCATGCGGCGCGCAAAAGTCCATGCGTTGGTAATTACCTTTCTTGGCCGTGGTGACCACGTAAATCGCCTCGGTCGTGAGAACAAACAGTGTCGCTGGGAATTCATACCCGAGAAGCCAGAACTAACAAGTTCCATTAGTAACTTGAAGTTGACGAGCCTCTATGCGACGAGGATAGAGCTTTGCGAGATGATTCACATACATGCATCGCGTTGTTCTTTTGGAATGAGTTCTCCTCATCGGTCTTGCCCATCAGAATGACCATGGACCCTGCATTGCCAAAGAGGGCATTGCCCGAGCGCTTGTCGGCCTTCCATGACGCATAGAAACTAGACAGGCGGTTGAAAAAGTTGTTATTGTCGATGGCAATCTCCTCAGCCATGTTGATGGCCTGATGCGAGCAAGATATGCCCCAGTCAGAGACTAAGTTGATGGCAAAAAGAGCTCGGTGGAGCAGCGTAGGAGCTATTGGAGGTATACCTGAGTGTTAAATTTGTTGAGGATGAAGAAAAATGTAGATGGAAACTGAAGGCAGCCTCAATGCAATCACTGCGATGATGAGAGACAAAGCACCAATAGAGCTGGACTGTGAAAGAAAAGATGAAGATAGAAAGGGACGGCTTAGGGGAAAGTTGAACGCGAAAAGCGCGTTCTTGCACTCCAGGTCTCTCTCGATTACCGTATCAAAGTATTACCACTTTTGTTCTAGCGCTATTTTCAACTCTCTCTTCTCTTGTTGAATCCGAACGTGTTTTTGTGAATATCTCTTTCGCTGACTTTCTTTCTATTCTATTTTTCCAGTCAACATGACATATGGGAGCTTTCACTTGATCATTTGATTGGATAGCAATCACACCCTGTGATGCTGTCTTTTTCCCCGCCTACATCACCTGCGCTTTGGGATTCACTGTCGACATTGAGTCAGTCTCTCTTTGAGACCCCACAAGCACCCTTTCCTATGATGTACACTGTGGCTGTTTAGTTGTTTGTAAACAATGAAGTCTCCAATAGCTCCTATCCTTCTCGAGCCCCATCTCGGCGAACTTCCAGGAAGTTCACGGAGGATTTCTCGCAATGATGCAGCTACCGGAGCATCTGCCGCAGGTGTTCGCGCTCTCAGTGCACAGATGGTGGCCTTCTACTTCAGAGCACCGATCAAAGCTTTCTTTCGTATGCGGGTTGAGTATGTAGTATCTCTCGGCCTAATGATCATTGTATTGACAATATTGCACTTAGTTATATGGTACAGCCTCCCACTATCTACAATAGATGAGAAAGACAATCAACCTATCCCGAGCCTTCGTTACTTATTATTTGAAACAGGCATTTGCAAGAGCTGTGAACCCCCGTGTCGCCGAAGGCAAATGGTCTCTGCATACAACAACCCCCGGATTATTGCTGCACGCTGTTCGGACATATGGTTGGCGCTTTATCCCGAATCAAGTGCTTCCACCTTTGATGGCAAATGCAGGGTGAGATATTCCTGGGGATGGGGTCCTGGGTGACTTGAAAGCGCTAACAATATATACCAGGGTTGGTGCTGTTCTCTACACGTCCTATCTCCAGGTTTTGGGGGCCCTACATGAACCTGTGGCCCAAGGGGTCAAGCGAGTCTGGCCCCCGGCTCCTCCTTCTGCAACATTCACTGCTGGATTTACTGCCGGCACAATTCAGTCGATTGTAGCCGCCCCTCTAGACGCGTTACAGGTTCGTTTTCAAACCAGTGACATGCTGGAGGGTCAGTACCGGAGTATGTGGCATTATGGCCACCACAAGCTCAAACAGATTGGTCTCCGTGGAGTCTTCGCAGGTTGGAGCCTGTCATTTATGCGGGATTCACTCGGATATGCTGTGTTCTTCTCCTCGTTCGAATACATCAAGTCACAGTCCTACTATTCCTTCGTCACTTGGTACTATGGCTCCCTGCAAGTCGACCACGTGGGCATGTTTTCATCGTCCGGGCCTAGTGATCGCGGTGTACCACTCATCAAGCCCCACTATTCATTGGAGCCCTGTTTTCTGATGATGGCTGGTGTTGTGGCATCGATTGCTCAGCAAACCATTCAGCATCCTCTAAGTAGGATCCAAGACCTTCACCTAGGTCGGTTGGAATACCTGGATCACCAGGCCAGTTTTGTACCTTCGCGACAGAAGATGATACGGTTATACTACCACGCCTACCAGGAGACCTTCAAGAGATGCAAGCGGAAGGCTGCGCGGGCCGGGGCTGGCGCCCCTGGTTGTTCCGTGGGTTTATTGGGAGCTCTCTTCGCCAAGTACCTAGCACCAGTGCCGGCCTCATCATTTTCGAATTGGTGCGCCGCCGCTACGCAAATCCCGCAGACGCTGTCCATATCCAGAGTGATGGATATGACATCCTTCTCACATAATGTATCATGTATTTGGTTTTCTCATCCTCTCTCACTTTGGCTTTTTGATACATTTCTCTTGCTTTTCTTTCTACCACATTGTTTGTTCGAGGGAGGGCGTTATAGACCTAGAATCTTGTTTCATTAGACCTACATACGTTTATGTACATATGCAAGCGATACCCGACTTTAAATGAGTACCTAATCGTATAGCTTGGTATATAGCAAGATAAGTTTGATCACCAAGAATAAAGGTTGGGTTATCGTAGGCACCTAGGGGTAAAGGCTTTTGCCCTACATTCGAGAATCACGGGAAATTTTTCCTTATTTTTCATTTGGACTGAGTCTGTATACAACATTTGCTTCTTCACTTTATACTTAGTACTGTGTACTATATGTACTATATGTACTATATGTATTAGTTGTAGTTGTATACAACCTTGGAACATACATCCAATCTAGATATTGTATACGTAAATAGTAACTCATATGCCGATCCATCCCGCATTAGATACGATTTAGTACGTATTAGTACTAGTACGTCCTCCCGTATGCGTACAAATCAAATACCCGTGGACCACTTGGCATTACATATTGTCTCCAGATGTCCTCCAATATTAGGATAGGCTTGTCCTTCTTTTCTTTCTATTTGACCTCCCCCCCAAAAAACTGTTACTATTTTAACCTAGCATTTCCGAAAAAGAAAAAGACACTTGATGAAAGATCATCTGAATCCCTCTTATTCTATTCTATATTTGACTTTTTGGCTTTGTAATGCTCTCTTGCTTGGCTCGGGACCCTTACTTTTGCCCAAACGCACCCCCTCTCTCCAAATCTCCGCCTGATCATCACCCCGTTTTGACGGTACTTCGTCATCCTGCGTCGCGTGTGACTTTACGTAGCTAGTCGCTCGCGGCCACATCGCTTGTGTGGCGCCCTGTCGCGGACTAATACAGTGACTTTCAAGGTTGTGCCCAGGTGGTACCGTTGCTGACTCCTTGCGGAGAACCTCTTATCGATATCATTAATCTCATCCTCATCGACTCCGCATTCTTCCCTCCTAGGACAAAAAGGGCTGCGAGGTTCAGCCCGTCAATACCGCCATCATTTCTTCGACTTCTCCCCCACGCGCCTCTAATATACCCCTCCAGTCCATACCGTCTGATTCGCGCTCGACACATTCGGCCAAGTTATTGGAGTCCAGCGAGAAGGGTAGCCGACGGTCTTCCCACTCGTCTGATCGCTCGGTCGGGTCTGACTTCTCAGTCTGGTCAGATACCGGTGATCTCGCCGAGCAGTTCGCCGAGGCCGAAGATCCGCTGCAAATCCACCTTCGCAATTCCTCGGATCGACAGCTTTTGCGTCGGAAAGAGCGAAGGAAGCAGCCCAAACGCGTCCACTATCCTTCAAACTTGAGCAACGAGCGTTCCGTGGTCGATATTGAAAAGATCAGGATACCAGTACCTCCCCCGCGGCATATTTCGAGAGTTGAACACGTTCTGGCCGCCATAATGACACCCAGAAATGGGCCAAACACCCAGATGCACGGGTTAGTGGGAAAGCCATTACTGTGAGTGTATCAAAGACCAATACCGTAGTTTTCATCGCTGACTTGGGTTTGCGTGTAGTTACTTCACGAGTGTGTTTGTATCATTGGGTGTCTTTCTTTTTGGCTATGACCAGGGTGTAATGTCTGGCATCATAACGTTCGTGTCTAACCCCCCGAGCATATACTCACTGTAGAGATTGAGGAACACATTGTGGCTAACAGATGCAGTGGCTGGTACTTCAAAGATTACTTCAACCAGCCTTCTCGGGCTACAATTGGTACTGTGGTTGCGGTTCTTGAAATTGGAGCATTCATATCCTCGCTCCTCGTGGGACGTGTTGGTGATATGATCGGCCGTCGAAGGACTATACTCTATGGCTCCATTGTGTTCTTCATTGGCGGTGCTCTCCAGACATTTGCCACGGGAATTCCCATGATGATGGTCGGTCGTGTCATTGCCGGTCTAGGCGTTGGTGCCCTCTCTACCATTGTGCCAGTCTATCAGTCTGAAATCTCGGTTTGTGAACCCCTTTCTTCATCAATTCAAGGCTTTTGGTTACCTCCCGCTCCCATTCTCTCGCCAGGTATGCTGACGAATTTCAAGCCTCCACACAACCGTGGGAAACTCGCATGCATCGAATTCACAGGCAATATTGCTGGGTATGCGACTAGTGTGTGGGTAGACTATTTCTGTAGCTTCATCGATAGCGACTACTCCTGGCGCCTGCCACTCCTTTTCCAGTGTATCATGGGTGCCTTGCTTGGACTTGGCAGTCTGGTGATCTGTGAATCACCTAGGTGAGTAGAAATCTCCTCCGTCATCTGCCAGGCTAACTTCCAGGTCCCTACTTAGATGGCTTCTTGATAATGACCACGACGAGGAGGGCATGGTGGTAATCGCAAATCTTTATGGGGAAGGAGATCTCCTTAATGACAAGGCCCGCCAAGAATATCGTGAGATCAAGATGAACGTCCTCGTTCAGCGACAGGAGGGCGAGCGATCTTACTCAGACATGTTCCGCCGGTATCGCAAACGTGTTCTGATTGCAATGTCGGCCCAGGCCCTAGCTCAGCTCAACGGGATCAACGTAATCTCATACTATGCACCTCTCGTGTTTGAATCGGTATGATACGCCGCGATGAATCCGGAATCCCCTTCTTACAGGGCCATCCTGGATTCAAGCATGATTCAAAATTATTCAGGATTATACTGACCAATCTTCAATATAGGCCGGCTGGGTTGGACGGGATGCCATCCTCATGACTGGAATCAATGGTATTTCATACTTGCTGTCCACCATACCACCATGGTATCTTGTGGATGGCTGGGGTCGGCGACCAATTTTACTTTCGGGTGCCGTTGCCATGCTCATCTCGCTTTCTCTTATCTCCTACTTTATTTACATTGAAATTCCCGCCACCCCGACCCTGACGGTCATCTTCGTTATGGTTTATAACGCAGCTTTCGGGGCGTCTTGGGGCCCCATTCCATGGTTATATCCCCCGGAGATTTTGCCTTTGAGTATTCGTGCCAAAGGTGCAAGTTTGAGCACCGCTTCAAATTGGGCATTCAATTGGCTCGTGGGCGAGGTGACCCCTGTTCTTCAGGAAGTTATCAAGTGGCGGCTATATCTGGTCCATGCTTTCTTTTGTGCATGCAGTTTTGTGCTTGGTATGATCCGTCATCCATAGTCATCCACTAGGGACTATTGTACTAACCATCACCTCAGTTTATTTCTTGTACCCCGAAACGAGTGGGGTTCGCCTCGAAGATATGAACGATCTTTTTGGCGATGCTTCTACCGCCATGCCGACGCCGGCCACTCAGGGCGAACGAGGATCGCTAATGGGTGCTGGTTCACCCGTCCCATCGCTCGATCTGCGTCGACAGTATGGTCAATTTGGGGCGGAGAGTTCCATCCCTGGTCTGAGATATCGATCCGCCGACTTCGAGCCATGAAGGGAGCAGCAAACGTGGACGCTCGGATTCTCATCAGGGCAGTGTTCGCGGCGAAGGAATTGGTGGCTGGATCTCAAACATGGTTAGTCGAAACCGAGGAGGGGCCCCGGGCGCTACCAGCAGTCAATATAGACGTTTGGAGCAAGGAGAAGGAGACGAGCAATGAAAGGGGTACGGATAGTTGTGGCCTTGGACTGAATAAAGGAAGCAAGAAAGACCAAAGAATTCAATGTCATATATTTCTTTTTCCCCATTTACCAATGTTTTCGGTTGATTTCTTTGTGTTCAAGTTTCCGGTACATATTCAAGTCCTCGGAATTTTTCCTACTGTATGGGGGTTGTGTTATATGATCAATCGTATACATATATGTTGTATAGATATAGTCTTGAACTTCCTTATGCATATGTAGTACATACCTGCATCGGTACTTTGCACGTGCCTTGTATACAATATCTAATATGTACGTATGATATCTACTACTAGTAGTCACCCATGGATATAAAAGCTGACTTGTAGATACTTGAAAAATATCATAACCAATACATAAGTATATTTATAGTATATTTATAGTATTTATAGTATTTATAGCAATAGTTATGTACAAAAAGTTACTTCGGGACTCGGAGTTCTGAAAACGGCCCACTAAAAAGTGGGCTTGTTTATCCTCCTTGAGGCCACGGATCTCACTTTCTCCTTTATTCTCTCAGCCCACTCTCTTGTTTCACTTAATTTCGTTTCATTTTCACTTCTTCCTTTTTTTATATTCACTTTTCCCAATCTACTCCTGGCATTGCTTCCGGTAAATCCGCTAGATTTGCCCTGTTCTATCACTCATTTGCCCAGGGGGAATGGCTATGTTCTCTTAAGCTACCCGCCCTTCTATTATCGGTCTACCTCGGTATTCCTCAGTTTAACTTCCTACTATTCTCCCATTCAGTTGGCACATTTTCATTTGAAATTACTACAGCGCACTATGGCGGGCCTAGACACTGCTGTGAGCACGGGCGCCAAACATGAGTCTGACCTCCGTCGAAGAAATGTTCCCGATACTAGTAACGTTCATCTGGTCTCAAACCGGATGAATGATGAAGATGGGAAGAAAGCCAGAATACAGGTGAGATAGCGTTCTTCGAGATCGTCATACACGTTCTAACCCCCCCTGGACAGTCACCCTCGTTCCTCCATGTGCTAGCTAGCTGGGAGCCGATCATTGCTCCCATCATCTTGACTGCACTCGCCCTCTTCACCCGCCTGTACCAGATCGGCCGTTCCAACATTGTGACCTGGGATGAGGCCCACTTCGGTAAATTCGGTTCCCACTATCTGAAACGCGAGTTCTACTTCGATGTCCACCCGCCTTTGGGGAAGATGCTTGTTGGCCTGTCCGGCTATCTTGCTGGCTATAACGGATCTTTTGAATTCAAGTCTGGCGAGAAGTATCCAGAAGATGTGAACTACACCTTTATGCGAGCCTTCAATGCTGCCTTTGGTATAGTCTGCATTCCCTTGCCTACTACACTGCGCGAGAGTTGAACTTCCGTCGGGCCACAGTCTGGTTGATCAGCCTGATGGTGCTGTGTGAGAACTCCTATGCCACAATTTCCCGGTTTATACTTCTCGACTCGATGCTGCTCTGTTTCACATTCACTACCACAATGTGCTGGGCAAGATTCCACCGGTTGCAACGCGATAGCTTTTCGCTGGAATGGTATGCCTGGCTCTGTTTGACTGGCTTGAGCATTGGCTGTGTCTGTAGTGTCAAATGGGTCGGTTTCTTCTGCACTGCTCTTGTCGGTCTTTATACTATTGATGATCTCTGGAGCAAATTTGGCGACCTGAAGATGCCACGGGTGAGTGTTTGCTTTCTTCCCCCTTCCCCAAAAGTCGATCACCGATCAGCTAGCTAACACGGATGCGTTCGAAAAGGCTGTGCTCGCAAAACACCTGGTTGCTCGTGTTGTGGGGTTGATTGTTATCCCAATCTTGGTCTACATGTTTTCTTTTTACCTGCACTTCTTGGTCCTGGCGAACAGTGGCCCAGGTGATGCCCAGATGAGCTCGCTTTTCCAGGCCAACCTGCAAGGTACCGAGGTTGGTAGAGACAGCCCTCTTGAGCTTGCAATTGGGTCGCGTGTCACACTCAAAAATATGGGCTACGGAGGAGGGCTTCTGCACTCCCATGTTCAAACCTACCCGGGAGGGATCTATGCAGCAGCAGGTCACCTGCTACCACCACAAAGATGCCAACAACGACTGGTTTATCTATCCCAACCGACAGGAGCCGGATTATGATGCCACTGCTGATCCGCGGTTCGTTGGTGATGGCGATGTCATCCGGCTGATTCATGGACAGACAGGTCGCAACCTGCATTCCCACGCTATCCCAGCACCAATCACTAAATCACACCACGAGGTGTCATCTTACGGAAATATTACCATTGGAGATGACAAAGACCACTGGCAAGTGGAGGTGGTCGACGATGTTGCATCTCGGGATCGATCTAGGATCCGGACACTCACAACAGCATTCCGACTCCGCCATCCAGTCCTAGGCTGCTATCTGCGGGCAGGAAATGTCAATCTACCTCAATGGGGTTTCAAGCAGATTGAAACAACGTGTACCAAGGAAAACAAACCCAGCGATGTGTACACTCACTGGAATGTTGAGTCTCATACCAACGACCGCCGTAAGCTTATCCTTTTTTCCCCAAAACTTGATATTGATTGGGCGCGACCAGAATTATTGACCTATTCATAGTACCCCCCTGGTGACCCTGGCTCCTATAAATCGCCCTTCTTGAAGGACTTCATCCACTTGAATGTGGCCATGATGACCTCTAACAATGCTTTGGTTCCTGATCCTGACAAGCAAGATGACCTGGCTTCCAAGTTTTGGCAATGGCCCATTCTTAATGTCGGCTTGCGCATGTGCTCTTGGGATGATAGCGTTGTTAAATACTATCTCCTAGGAAACCCCCCTGGTCTACTGGGGAAGTACTGCGGCTCTTGGTGGATTTGGTCTTCTATTCCTTTGGTACCTTCTGCGCTGGCAGAGGGGGTACAATGATCTCAGCAACGAGGAAATCCGTCACATCCACTACTCCGGCTTGTATCCGGTTATCGGATGGGTATTGCACTACCTTCCCTTTATAGTCATGGCTCGTGTGACTTATGTTCACCATTACTATCCTGCTCTCTACTATGCCATCCTGAACTTCGGCTTCTGCATCGATTGGATGACACGGAAGATGAATCCCAGATTGTCTGCGGCGGTGTATGCCTTCCTCTACGTGGTCATTGTCGGATTGTTCATTCATTTCCGAGCCATTGTATTTGGAATGGAGGGTTCTAACCAGCAATGGACTCACCTACGCTGGCTACCCGGATGGAAAATGGCGAATGCGAGCTAATCATGGATCGCTTGATGACGTGTTCTTGTTCTCTCTAGGGCTGCTTGTTAGCTCGTGTTGACCACCTCAAGTTGGACCTTACCTCTCTACATGGGTGTGTGGGTCAACATGGATAATTTCACTTTACTTCTGTATTTGTAAAGAAAAGAAAAAAGTGCAATGTTATTAGAGATAGTAGAGTTCTCATCCCGACCGCCATAGTCGCGCTTGGCGTATGGAAAACAATCCAGTTGAATATGAAGATATGTCGGGGCCAGATGTTGCTGACTATTTATTATTACGGATTGTTGATTTAGCAACATCCTCCGGTCCAACCGTTGCCACCTCTGCGCATAGCATCATCCATTCCCAATGTGACAGTTCGAGGCACTCCAGTGTTTGCTCCCCCAGAGGCCCCGAACCCCTTCACGCCACTCCGGCGGTCATTGAGGTCGTATTTTCCCGTTTCGATGTTACGGTAGATTCTCTCGGCAACTTCCAGGAACGCTCGTTCAACGCCATCTCCAGATTTGGCACTCGTTTCAACATAGCGAACCACATTATTCATGCGACACCATTCTTCAGCCTCCTCCTTGGTGACCTGCCTTTGATTTGATCCAGAACTGCTCCCGCCAGATCAGTCTTATTACCGACCAAGATGACAACGATGCCATCTTCTGCGATATGCCGTAAATCCTGCAGCCACTGGGTGCAAGATATAAATGTCGAGTGCCTGGATATATCAAAGACTAGGAGAGCGCCAGAGGCGCCCCGGAAGTAAGAGCGGGTGATAGACTTGTAGGTCTCTTGTCCAGCGGTATCCCACAGGGAGAGTTTCATGCGTTTTTGATTGGGAGAACCTTGTGGTTTTCGTGGAGGGGTAGGAAGGCCGGAGGTGGCAGATGCTTCTGGAAATGTATCACCTGACGATCCGAGAGAAGGCTCATCAAGATCTAGCTCTAGCGACGCTGGAGGACCAACTGGCACAATTCGCGACCCGAACTCAACTCCAATGGTCACATCATGAGATGGGGAAAAGCGGCCTTCACAAAGTCGGACGGTGAGCTATTGTTTTGGTTAGCGGAAGTACAAGGTCAAAGACCGATAGCACTTACGCTGGACTTGCCAGTGCCAGAGTCACCAATGCAGACAAGCTTAGCAATGTAATCCCATGGCTGTGACATGGAGAGGGTAGAGGAAAATAAAAAAGAACCCAGAATCAGAGATGAAAAGAATGCGGAGGTCAGTTTACCTACGTTTGGAGACCTTACGGGGGTATGGTTATCAGCTGAGTCATCTATCAAGCCTGACGTGCCCGTATGACGCTTTCATCAGCTGCGTGACCCTGTAGTCCTTCACTTTATCCCCAGACATCACTCACACACACACTCTCTCTCTCCTAGATTTGGCATATCTCAAATATCTCAAACAAATTCAAAGTCTTTCCTCTCTCTCTCACTTCCCTTTATACTCTAATATCCGACCGTACTTGACTTCCTCAGCATATTTCCCTTTTTGTGATTTACCAGTCTTGTCCCACTCACCGTACTTTGTTGCGATAACAGGCCATGTTCTCTGAATGTAGGAACCGGAAGATCTTGAATATTAGAAGACTATATGGCTAATGCCTTGCCTTAGATGCCTCACGATTCCTTGCTCAATCACAGTCGCGAGTAACCTCTCGACCAGATGAGGTTCAAAGAACGGGTCGTAGCCGCCCTGGTCAACACCAAGGCAACCCTCGGCACCCCTCATCGCGTTCTTTCTTACGACCCAGCGATCCTTATCGACCCGGTGCATCCCAGGCATCTCAATTTCCATTTGCCCCCCACACCTCGGTTCAACAAGCTCCCCTTTTTTTCAGTGCCACAGATGAATTTCGAGAGGAAGATGACGAAACAGAACGCGAGCGAGAAATCGCTGATTTCTATGCACTCCAACGATCAAGGAGGAATTTTGGCGACAGCAACTTGAAAGAATCTTCGGAACTTGAGGATTCTGAACGTTCAGGTTTCGAGGAGGGAAGCTCACCATACGATGGTCGTCCTGGCAAAGGCATCAAGAGCTCATGGCGAGGAGAAGAGAGTGTTTCTGGTGCCCGCACTTTTCCTATCCAGTCTGTGGCAGAAGCTCCAGAGCATGAGCCGGTATCCCGATCCAGCCCGAGCAGTAGCAAAATTCGAGGCCATCTAGTTGACGTCGGTCTGGAGGATTCTTTACGGGCCGATTTTGACAATGATCAGGCGTTATCCAGTCCCGGTGCCCGCAATCCTCCTGTTCAGCGATTCCGAGACCGAGAATTACTGAAGGAACCCTCTGGTCCCATTCAGCATGGGCCTACTGTAGAGCAGGCTGAGCTTTTATCGCGAGATGTCCCACGGCCGCCCAGCTCGGCAAGCTCATTTCCAACATCGGTATCACCGCTAGCCTCAGAGAACACAGTGCACGATGCCTTCTGGGGCCAGTTGTTCGTGATATCTCTCGCGGGCTTGTTTGCTTCTGCATTTCTCGTATATCTTCACACTTCCACCCCATCTGGAGACAAATCAAAATGGGGCGATACAATATACATGACTGTCCATGGATCTTTCTTCCTCCTCGGAATATATACTATTGTATCCGTTCTTGTGTCCCTGCTTTGGTTGGCCTTGCTACGCTCCTATGTGCGACTTCTGGTCCATGTGATCCTAGTGGCCGTCCCTGCTATCTTATACTCTTTCTCCTTGTATCCTTTCATCTCAAGTTTCAAGGGGCCATGGCATGGGACGAGTATCCAAGACAAGGCGATGAGATGGGGCTCTGCTGTCCCGTTTCTCATAGCCACCATGTGGATCTACAATGTTGTGCGTGGCCGTCAGTCTATAGGGAAGGCCATAGGCATTCTCGAATTTGCCTGTCGCATCTTGGCCGCCAATCCTGAGCTGCTTGTTCTTGGTCTTGGTGCCTTGGTCTGCGTTGTTTCCTGGACCTGGACCTGGATGCTGATGTTCACTCGCGTCTTCTTGGGCGGTCATTTCGTTAGGTCGAAATCGTTCATCATTGACGTGGGTAGCTGGTGGCTCGGTATCTATTTCGTTGTTGTTTATTTGTGGTCGATCGGCATCATCGCAGGCATCCAGCGTGCTGTCACCGCTGCAACAGTGAGCCAGTGGTATTTCCACCGCTTAACCACACCCGCACCCACTTCCAGGCAAATTGTTCAGGCAGCCATCGTTCACGCCGCTACGACTCTTTTTGGCACGATCTCTTTGTCCAGGTTATTGGGGCTACTGGTTCGACTTCCTCTTCTCTTGCTACCAGGTCGCATCTCTTCGTTGCTCAGTCTGTTCGCCTATTCCCTCGTCCCCACCCCAATCACCTTCTTGACCAATCCTCTTTCTCTCACCTATGCAGCGATTCATTCGCAGCCTCTTGCCGCTTCCTCCCGGGGACTGAGTCAAATGACTATCCTTGCCCCATCGGCGGCCTCGACGTCTTTACATCCCCGTTCCTATTCTCGCCCGCCCGGGAATTCGGGGTCTCTACTCTCATACCGGCTGTCTAAATTGATCCTCTACGCTGCCCGTTTCATGATGTCCTTAGCCTTAGGGTTCGGTGGTTGGGTGACCACTGCTCGGAGCCTGACAACCTCTGCGTCCAGTGGCACCATTCGTGGCAGCCTTTATGCCTACGTCGTCGGCCTTATTGCTGGAACAATTGGCTGGACCACACTGGGTGCAATGGAAGGTGTGATCGCAGATATTGTAGATGCGGCGGTGATTTGCTGGGCAAGCGAAGTCGGTATATACGGCAGAGAAGCCCGGTATTGTCGCGAGGCTGGTTGGCTCTTTGGTGACTCGCAGACTCGCTTCGGACATGAATATCAAGAAGTCTAGGTCGGTTTCTTTTCTTTCTATTTTTTGCCCTTTTCCCCCTTCATCTTATAAGCTCCTGGCCCATGCCATTTCTTTGTACGATTGAGCGGTGGTAATATCTCCATATGCTTAGCGAAATCCTTGACTTTCAAGTAGATTGGAAGACTTGACAAGCAAATACATTCTGCATTTACATCTCGGTTATGAGCGATGCCAAAGCAGCTCTCTGAGAAAATAATGTATTCTTTTGCATTCCCCTATGGTATATTCGAATTGCAAATAGCTACATGAAAATCCAGGGCTCGTGGTATCATGAGAAAATATAAAAAGTAAAGGCAATGACCTGTGCGGAAAGAAAAAATAAGGTCGTTCCCCTGAGAATGCCATATGAAGCATACTTCGAGGGGAAAAGGCAGACAAATATGAAACACGAATAAATTAGAGACCAAGACGTCCATTCCACTCCACCCGTTCTTTCGAGCACCATTCTTTCAGTAGGGACCAGCCAAACCGAACCACTTCGATAGGCGGGGTAGTGCCACCAAGCGGTAGGAAATAGCTTCCAGCATAGTCGCCAGCTTTAAGAGATGATCGGCCTCGCTCCGAGTAATTTCGAGACCGCTGGGACCAGATCGTGGGAAACTCACGGCCAAGGACATCTTCAGAAAGACCCCGGGTGCCTTCGATCCATAGCCTTTGGGAATCCTTGTAGAACTCAGGAAGACGAGCCTTCAGTTCCGAAAATTCCTTCCTGCTTTTTCTGTTCTCATCCGACAGGGCTGCGTTTCCGTCGCTCCCAGGCGTTGGGACTGGGGTTTGCTCTCCAGGAATTGGGCTTATCGCGAGGCGTTCAAGATCGAGAGTATGAATAGCAGTGAATGAAACAGCCCCAAGGAGCAAGCAGAGACTGTTCAATGCCGGATATGGTACACTGTTCTTCTTGACCACACGCCAGTATGGCACAATAGACAGCCATGTTGAGGAATCCCCAACCTGGCGTGATGAAGCCTTAGCCTGATCGTTCGCTACAAATGCCATGATAAAGGACAACAACGCTTCGATCGCAGTCACAACGGCTAGCTTTTCGTCGGTAACCAAGGCCCCAGCTTTGGAGGTATGCCGCTCTGCGGCGTGTTTCAATTCACGACCGATGCTCGCAAATTTTTGCCACTCATCCCACCATACCTGCCGCTCATTGCGCGTACGACCATCTGCCTGTGTCGGGGAAGCTTTCATGATTGACCCGGGATCAACAGAATGACGTTTGTTGGCGGGATTAGAAGGAATCTTGCCATCGGTCTCTCCGGGATCGTTTCGACGAGAGATAGGAAGTTTTAGGTCTTTCGCCGGTGTGATAGAAGCTGCTTTGGTTTTGTCGTGGGCGATTGAATGAGAGCCCAACTGCGGCTGGGGAACGGGCGTTCGAGGCTTTTCGGGGAAGCCTTTTTGCTCCTTTGAGCGACCATTTTGAGGGCCAAGGGCTTCCCCAGTCTCATGCTTTTTACCTTTCAGATCCCCAAATGTGTGTCCACGAGACGAACCAGAATCTACTCCCTTATTCCTGGGATGGGATACTTCATCACGATCGGTGTCCTGGCTGACCGGTGAATCTGACAGATGGGGTTTCCTTTTACCAGAAAATTTAAGCAGAGCTTCAACACGCTTTCTGTTCGCTCTTCCGTACCGCAGTTTCGTAAGAAGCTGCGTCTTTTGTGGGCCAGCACGGGCGTGATCTCTTGTATGTTCATGTGTATTGGATTCTTTGGCAGGCAATCCTTTTCCTGCCCGACTACTACGAGACGGTGAACGGTCCTCGAGACGGGCCAACTCCTTTTCGATCTCTGGAGGGAGGGTAGGAGATAGTAAGCGCGGAAGTCTGGGGCCACCCGATGTCGGTGGGAGAGTGGGCGAAAGGAGTGCGGGAAGTTTGGGAGAGTGCGATTTGGCTGGGCTGGGCTCTCGGCGCGTCTCTTTCTCGGGAGAGAGCCGCAGTTTCTTTGTAGGATGTGCTTCGGGCTTCTTGGTCGTTGAGGGGTTAAGGAAGTCAAGTTCCGACCCAGATGGCCGTTTCTGGCCCGCTCTTTCGGGGAGAGACGCGCATGTGATTTTTGCGGCATTTTAGTCTTAGCGTTATTCTTGAGTGGCTCTGAAGATATCGTGCGTCGTCTATCCTCGGACTTGGCGGAGCTTGATGCGCCTCGGCTACCCGCTTCGAGGCCAACGGGAGATGGAACAGCGCCACTAGTTTTTTGAGTCTTGTAGTCCTTGAGACTAATCTTCTTTTTGGCCACGGTTTCTCTTGAACTTTCCCCAGCGCTTGGGGCTGTTGATCCATCGGCCATCATGCGCCCCGTTTCGTCCGACCAGTCCCCAACGGCTAGGAGCAATGAGTCGGTGTCGTGGTGTGTCAAGAAGGTCATATACTGTAGTTGTTGCTCCTCCAAGCTGAAGGGTCTGTCATGCCCTACAGCCCAATTGTTGGTGGACCGGTTCCCCAGGTTAAAGGGCGTCTTGGTAGGAAATGTGAGTAAATATGGAACCGGGGGAGGACGTCGTCGGAGAGGCGCTGCAATCGTTGGTCAAGCACTTCACGCTCCGACGTGGAGGAAATTGCGGCTCGGGGGATCGTAGTGGTCTGGAGATGGCGTTTCTCGTTCACCGACATCGCAGTGCGCAGGGTTTCACGATTTGTTCTTCCACAAGAGATGGTATCATACGCGCTTCAAGCACAAATTTGGTCGAAGTCTTTCACCGAGTCCCGTTTCTCGAGTCGGTATGGCGAGCTGCCTGGTGATAGTCAACGCATTGAGTCGAGCGAAGGATGTACAAGATCCGGCCTTTTTCAGGTGCCGAATAATCAGGGCATCCTATCACTATTGCGCGTGGGGGGTGTTCCCATAACCCTGGGAATTCGAAGCCGCGCAATTGGGAAGGAGAAATAAACACGAGGCAACAAAGAAAAAGCGGGATGTGTCACAATGAGAGGGTGACCTCTTTCCATGAAGGAGTGAGAGATGGGAAATGTCCCCGGGATAGAATGAAAGAGATGAATTGGAGAAGGTTACGTTAGGTCACGGTGCCTGTTGCTTATCGGCTTATCGTTACCATACAATTTCATTACATACAGTCCAACATACACAGTGATGAAGATATAAAAAGCTCGAATACCTACATGTATATATATATATATATATATGTACATATATGTATGTATGTACACATAGGATGTAGGTGCATTCTCATCTTGTCACGCAGGAATGAATCTATCAGAGTTCCGTTAAATCTGTTGAAGCCCCAACATTCAAGAACGATCGTCATCTGCAAACTTCTCACGCCAGAATGCACGGTAACGTTTCTGCTCGCCTACCTTGGAGATCTCATCAACCTCTTGAGGAGTCAGTTTAAAGGTAAATGTGCGCAAATAGCTGCTCAGGCGGGACTCTTTGCCACTGGTGGTGATAGCCACACAACCACGGTCAATAATCCAGCGTAACAGGATTTCGGACTGGCTGACTGCATATTTAGTGGCTAAGGAAGAGAGCAGAGGGCCCAATGGCCCACCCTGAGCCCGAATGGCAGGGGTGAGGCCCCCATAACTAACAGTCTTGATACCTTTACTCTCTTGGTAGGGAACAAGGTTGCCATGTTGAAGGTAAGGGTGGAACTCGATCTGATTCACAGATGGTACCACCTTAGCGGTTTCGAGAATGGCCTCCAAGTCGCTTTGTAGGAAATTGGACACGCCAATAGACCGGGCTTTCCCAGATGCCTTTACTTGCTCCATGGCTGCCCAGGCAGCTTGAAGCTCTTCCTTGGACTTTGCAAGTACGGAGCATGGACCAAGTACCTGCTCCAATTATTAAAAGCAGTTCTCGGAGCTATCAGTTTATGTTGGAGTTCACTTACAGGTCCACATAGTTAAGCTGAAGCTTCTTGAGACTGGTATCGATGGCCTGAGGAATGTCGGCAATATTGGTGATAACCTTAGTCGTCACGATGAGTTTCTCTCGAGATACCCCGCTCTCTTTGATTGCTTGACCCAGTTCCTCCTCGGTTTGGTAGACTTCAGCCCCATCGAGGTGGTGATATCCTAACTTCGTTGCTGTCTTGATTGACTCGACCAATTCATGATTGATACCGGTATCCCCAGATGTCTTAAACCACGCGGTGCCAGTGCCATATCCAATCTGTATTTGTTAGAGAACATTACCCATATTGTGTGAGTTGATGACGGATTATTACTCACGGTAGGGACCGAGGTACCATCATTGAGATCCAGTGTAGGAATAGACGAAATAGTGTTTGCCATGATCCCAAGTGTTTTCTAAAAAAAAAAGGGCATAGAATGATGAAGGGTGTAAGTGGATAATACTTCTAATACTTCCGTACCTTTTATGTTGGGGGGTATCCGCGACGTACCTACTAAGGTAGACCCGAGGTCCCCAAAGTCCAGAGGCAATGATTAATAATGGCAATTATGTCATTTCTGCACCTCCAGGGCTCTCCATATATGAGGTCAGAACCTACGTACCTTCATCTTCACTTGGATATCATTTACTCCCTCTCTATGAACTTTCGCGTTCTAGCGTCTTCAAGAAAGTATATGTTTCGTCTTCGGCCACCGTCGGTTCGGAATCGTTTAATCCAAATGGCACATCTTTCAACTGCCGGGATTTCCCTGGCTGAATTACCGAAATCAAATGTCTTCACATCTAAATTACCCCCTGATCCAGCTTTTGATACACCGGAATCCTCGCATAAGGCCCCAAGGGAAACCTTGGGGCCTCGCATGGTCAAAGGAGCTTTGTTCACATATGTCCGCCCAGAGCAGACCGATGAGCCAGAACTACTGGGAGTCAGTTCGAAAGCGATGAAAGACTTGGGGTTAAAATCAGGCGAGGAACAAACGTCACGATTCAAGGCGCTCGTCGCCGGAAATGAGATCTGGTGGAACGAGGAACAGGGTGGAATCTACCCATGGGCACAGTGTTATGGAGGTCAGTATCCACGTCTTGATGAGAAACCCCAAAGAGACTAACATGTGCAGGGTGGCAATTGTAAGCTACGAATGAAGCTTAATTTGTGACATTAACAGCTGACCATCTGCAGCGGTTCATGGGCCGGACAACTTGGAGATGGGGTAAGTCAATAAGTAAACATCCAATGGAGTCCTCGGCTCATTAGTGGTACTAATGACCGTAAAATTAGCGTGCAATCAGTCTATTTGAATGCACCAACCCGCAGACAGATACGCGGTATGAGCTGCAACTGAAAGGAGCAGGCAGAACACCCTACTCGCGTTTCGCAGACGGCAAAGCTGTCCTTCGGTCAAGTATCCGTGAATACGTGGTCTCAGAAGGTGAACAAACCTGCATCAACCCCGAGGACAGACCACTAAAACATTGCCAGCTCTCTCTGCCCTCGGTATACCAACCACTCGGGCACTCTCACTCACCTTGGTCCCCAATGCCAAGGTATTGCGAGAGCGGCTCGAACCAGGAGCAATTGTTGCCCGCTTTGCTGAGTCTTGGCTAAGAATTGGCACCTTTGATCTTCTTCGCGTTCGCGGAGATCGTGAGCTGATCAGGAAGCTTGCGACATATGTTGCAGAAGACGTTTTTAACGGGTGGGAGTCTCTTCCCGCCGTTGTATCGCTGCGTGATCAGCAGTCTTCCACGCAAATCGATAATCCCCAAAGGAGTATCCCCGGCGATCAGGTACAAGAACACGAGGATGTACAAGAAAATCGGTTTGCTAGACTATATCGAGAAATCGCTCGCCGCAATGCTAAGACAGTGGCCGCGTGGCAGGCCTACGGCTTCATGAATGGTGTGCTGAACACCGACAACACATCCATTTACGGCTTGTCGCTAGACTATGGCCCGTTTGCGTTTATGGACAACTTCGATCCCCAGTATACCCCGAACCATGATGACCACATGCTGCGATACGCCTATCGCAACCAACCCAGCATTATTTGGTGGAATCTGGTCCGACTCGGAGAGTCATTAGGTGAGTTGATTGGGGCAGGAAACCGGGTTGACGACGAAAGCTTCGTCAATGACGGGGTCACGGAGGAGTTCGAACCAGAACTCATCAAACGCGCGGAGAAGATTATTGAGCGTGTGGGCGAGGAGTTCAAAGCAGTATTTCTGAACGAATACAAGCGGTTGATGGGCCAGAGGCTAGGACTCAAAACACAGGCCGAGTCAGACTTCCAGAATCTCTTTTCGGAGATGCTAGACACACTCGAGGCACTCGAACTGGACTTCAACCACTTCTTCCGTCGGCTTTCAGGGCTGACACTATCCAATCTGGAGTCTGAAGAAGGCCGAAGGGAAGCAGCCTCGGTCTTCTTCCACACCGAAGGTTTCGGTGGGATTGGATACACCGAGGCTACAGCTAGAGACCGCATTGCAAAATGGTTGGATAGTTGGCGGCTTCGCATCCTAGAGGACTGGGGCCCCGCAAATGACGAGGAAAGGCAAAAGGCCATGAGATCTGTCAACCCGAATGTAAGTACCTGTTGAAATATCCTGCTTGAAGACCCGTGCAGCTTGGCTAACCCATTGGCAGTTCGTGCCCCGAGGGTGGATTCTCGACGAGGTCATCGAGCGTGTGGAGCGCAAAGGAGACCGAGATATTCTAGACCGGATCATGCAGATGTCTTTAAACCCGTTTAACGATGAATGGGGTCTTCACAGGCAAGAGGAAGAGCGTTTCTGTGGGGATGTCCCCAAGTACAAGAGGGCTATGATGTGCAGTTGCAGCTCGTAATCAAACTATGAGCGTTATGCGGATTTCAACCCTCTGGGAGGCGAGTGTGTGATATGACAACTTTTTAAGGGATGAGAACCGATTTGAGCTACACAGCAAATGCATCGATTCCCAACCCACGAGGTAGGCTTAGAGAATTAAAACGTGCAAATACGAGTATTTGCCAGGCTCCCCTTCACATTTTATACGTGTTATCATAAAAATCCCCAGGAATTACCAAACAACCTAGGTAGGAGGACATCAAAAGTTAGATCATGTCAACCTTGTCAGGCGTTTGATCCTTAATCATACATTTTCAGGGAGAAAAAAAGAGAAATTCGTTTCGTGCATGCATGAAAAATGTCGTCCAATCCCATGGAAACTGTAGAAAGATGTTGACCAAAAGAGCAATGCAAGCAATGAGCACCTTAGTTAGGGCAAGCGGACTGAACGTGGCCGGGCTGCTTGCACTTGTAGCACATACGCTCACCCTTGGCCTCAGTGGGGCAGTCGCGAGAGACGTGGCCGACTTCGCCGCCTAATTATCGTGTTAGCAGACTCCCAGAGAAAGTGAGAAACCCCAAGATATATAACTGACAGTTGTAGCACTTCTGACCCTGAGTGCAGTCACGGGCCATGTGGCCGAAGCCACCGCAGGAGTAGCAGGTCTGCTGACGACCACCGGCACCACCGAAACCACCGTATCCACCAGCACTGTAACCACCGTAGTTACCCCCCTGGGAGCAGTTGCGGGCAATGTGGCCAACCTGTCCGCACTTGTAGCACTCCTGGGAACCACCACCGTAGTTGCTGTCACCGCCCTGGGGGCATTCGCGAGAAAGATGTCCGGTCTGGCCGCAACGGTAGCACGACTTCTCCTTGGCAGGTTCCTGGCATTCACGGCCTTTTTTGAAAAGGTTAGTCAAATTCAGAGTTTGCGATATTCAACTTCAACTTACTCAAGTGACCTTGGCCTGTAATTGTGATTGACTGGATTAGCAAAGTCCTAATAGCCAGTCCAAATGTCTAATGGACAATGGACAATTTTGAGTATGAGCATACCATTGCAGTTGTAGCTATTGGACTAGGTTAGCTTTGTAATGATTGACGGTTCGAAATTGGGGAATTTACCAGGTAGGGTTTCCCTTCTTAGGGCAGTCCTTGGCCTAGAAAGAGATAAGTTGATAAGTTTCAAGCCTTATTCGAAGTTTTCGAAGTCAGGCAAAGGTTGTAATTACCTGGTGAGAGGCCTCGCCGCCTGTGAAGAGTGTTAGTTAAAAAAAGAAAAAAAGGAAAAATCCCCGCGCAAATCATGTATCAGTTTGAATAGATATAATCCGAGTACAAGCTCCAAGTGAATATGAGAGGGATTCGACAGTAAAAGAAGCACACATACAGTTGAAGCAGCCACCACGTCCAGCAGGAGGGAAATCCATTATTGAAGAGAAGTTGGGGAATTTTTTTTTTACAAGAGAAAGAGAAGTAAAGTGAAGAGTCTGAAAATAATATTGTGCGGGGAAAATCTTCGATAGCTGACCGCCCTGAAGAGAGAGAGGGATGGGAGTTTTGGATCTTTTGCTCTTTTGGCCTTTTTCATTCCCTTTTCCCTCCTCTTTCTGTTCTCTTTTCTTATTTTCCTGTTTCACTTATTTTCTGTTTTCCTTTGCCAGCTTCCTCCCGTATATAAAGTCATCATGATGGATGAAATGGCCCCTTTTGATGGAAAAGGGAGGTATTGGAGACCAGAGACCGGAGAATACAAAACGGAAATGGAAAAAAAATGGAGAAGACAAAAGTCGAAAAGTCGAAAGTCGAAAGTCGAACCAAAATCCCGGGGCTTATATGTAACCCCCCTGTCCTGCCAGGGTCCCCAGTAGTCCAGATTGAGTACCTTGTGCTACTTCCAAGGTTAGGGCATTTCTTCCTTTCTCGGCCTTAACGTATATACATTAAAAAAAAAAAATCATGTATATACTTGCGTTAGGTGAAGTCGTAACACTCAAGTAACTGTGTCCCCGTCTTTTCTCGAAGAAGAAGTACCCGTTCTTCGTCAAATCCGATAGGGGTGGATTCTTGGGGTTCAACTTTTACACTGCCCAAATGCTGGTAAATCGTTCCTAGTCCTGGCTCTGGCTCTAGCTCTGGCTCCCCATCCTGGTTTCCAGCATTGAGCTGAACTCCATTCTCCAAGAACTTACGGCTGCTCAGGGATGATATCGCCATCTCTAATTCCCATATTCGGATCTCATCCCCTCGAGAACTTACAGAGACAGCTTTCCCACGATTGGTCACCTGAACAGCAGATACAGAAGAGGTATGGCCCCAAAGTCGCCGGCCGCCCTGGACAAACAACCTCTCCGATGTAGATACCACAAGGTACATAGTCAAAGTGTTGTCGGCATGAGAGGTCAGCAAATACGGATGGGAATAGGACATCGAGGTTGGCGGCTGTTGATGTATGATAGACGGTGCCCCAGGGTCGATGGAAGGTTGATTGCATTCGACTGCAGAGTGTCGCCTTTTCCTGGATTGAAGTGGCCTCAATCCATATTGGGAATCCACCGTAGTAGCCAGTCGGGAATCGAGTTGTTGCCCATCTTTGCCTAGACGCAATTCTTGAATCCCCAGAGACCACCCACAGCCAATGTGGAAGAAGCTATACACAATAGTGGCGACAATCTCAAAGGACGAGACTCTGAGAGAGAGTGTCATGGGTGCAACAATGTTATCTGCCTTGAGGGAGGCAACCTGGTAGGGCTCCGAGGCTTCGGTTTCGTCTGCTCGATGGCTGCCAGGTCGCAAATTGTATAGGGTCAAATCTTTGTGCTGGGATACTACCATTAGATACGGCGAGGAGAGGGCCATTGCGGTTATAGAAGCATCACTGCAGCCGACATGAGAGGACTGAAAGTCTAGCCGAGAATTTTGAAGATTCAAGACGAAGAGGCTGAAGTGACCATTTTCCAGCCCGACTGAGATCTCGATCTTATCTTGAATCTGGCTTACTGCCAAGGCGGTTGGGATCGTAGGCGATGGTTCTAATGGAGCTGACAAAGGAATTTTTGCGAGACAACATGCCGGATCCCTTGTGGTCCAAGCCTGGAGCCCGTGCGCTGAGTCTGCCGTCAAGACAACCCCAGCACAAAACCTGATCAGCGTAGGAGGGCATGGTGGCTGAGGAAACTCTACCTCAGTAACCCGGCATAGCCCTTTGGACCAATTATGCCGGAGCCGATACTGCTGTTTCCAATTGCCCTCCTGTGCCAAGTGCCCATGGTCGAACCACGTTGCGACCTTGGGCGAATAATCTGCCTTGGCCGGGAGTGTTGTGCGTCTAGAACTTGCAAGGCGGCGGGCACGTGGTCGTACCCATTGCGAGTAGTATTGCCTTTTCCATATCTCGGAGTCCCCACCAAGAGCATGGAAGCGATGTGATAACCTGGTTGAGGTAGCAAGTTAGCGAAACCCTCCGATAAGGACCGACGACAATGGGAGTATATATACCTTTGACAGACGTTAAGGGACGATACTGGTAAAAAGGAAAGGATATGGAGCAACAACTCATTGCTCAGACCAGACAAACGATCAACAGGCCCAATATCGTCCCGAGTGCGGGTCCGCTTTTGCGGTAGATCGGAGTCGCAGTGGTCTCTGCACCGTTTGGACATCCTACTTCAGGTTGAATGAAAAACTTGTGAAGAAACTAGTGAAATCAACCAGAGAGATCATTCCCGCACGCTCGAAGGAACACAGTGGTTGAAAGTGGAGGGACAATTGCAGGTGGAGTCTCGAGCCACCGAGGCCAATCTTATCAGTAAGTGATAAGCTCACGTGTGCCCATGTGGCCTGGACGCGTCGCGTTTATATCGCTCTGACAAGATGTCCACAAGTTTCTCTCTTTTTATTTTTTATTCTTTACTTCTCTTATGATCCATGTCATTTCCCTCGATGATACTCTTGAACTCACACGATGGAAATTGTCAAGGAGCTCCATGCTGCTGTGGCAAATGCCTGTGAGGCCTCCTTCAACAATGCCTATAAGCACATGAAATCCCATATTGACGCACACGCCAAAGAGGTGAAAACCAAAGAAACAATTGCCAGCCAAGCCCAAAGACGACTGGAGACCAGAATCCGAGAGCTTGAGCATGATATTACGGTACTCCGGAGTGAGCTGCAACAACATGAAGTTGATCCACGGGATCTTGAACTTCCCGGGGAATATGCCAATCTAGAGACCGAATTTGACCCGAAAAACCTGTGGGGGGATGATCTGGAGGAGGATGATCATCGCAGTGTTCGGAAGTCTCGGAAAAGAGCTGAGGCCAAATACACCGCGCTTTATACAAATTTACAGACCTTCATCCAAACTTGGAGTGGTCTCAAATCCCGGGTGTTGCAACATAAAAAGAAGTTACGGCGATGGGATCAGCAGTTAGAACGTGGAGAATTCTCGCTTGTTCTCAATGGTCAACCCGTCACATTCCGCAGAGTGGAAAGTCCAACCTCCGTGGATGTTGACGAAGAACACTCGGAGGCCCAAGGCTCCTCGAGGAAACGTCAAAGAGAAGAGTGTCCAGATCTTCCTGCCAAGGCCATCAAGTTGTCACAAAGAAGGAACTGTGCAGATGATGTGCATGCAGATATAAAAGTTGAAGACGATAACCAAAGAGCAATGCACGGCTTAGCATCAGAGTCGGCATCCACTCAGTCTAGCTCTCCTAGAACCGACATGGAACCCTCGGAATCCGCCAATACAATATGTCCCCTTCCCAATGTCCGCCGGCAGCAGACTCAGCAGAGGCTTTCCCCAACACTTCCCGACAGGCATCTCGTGCATACCCAGCGGGTTATGAGCTCGGAACGCCCTGTAGTTGTTAAAAATGAGTCCTTGTCCTCAAGTCCAACCCGAGGCTCAGTCCGCAACAGTGAACAGCCATTTGTAAGCACACAAGATCTTGACGAGATAGGGGACACGATACGAACACCAATCAAACGGAAAAACTACCGTGATGTCAATATTGCAGACGCTTGGAACTCAGGGAACGGTGCAAAGAACGCACATCACTCAAAGCGAATTCCACCACGCCAACAAATATCTCAACAGTCATGTATACTTCAACCAGTTGACGGCAACGCACGCAAGGTCACATTCTCTGCGCAGGAGCCTTCCGCGAAACGCCTCCAAGATCTGGAGCGACGCGCAATACCAGCTCTGGCAGAAGACGGCGATGATGAGATACCCTTGCGGACTTCTTCAAAGATTGGCTCCGGTATCAATCTCGGACCTTCGGAAGCAAAGACAAATGGTGGGTTTGCCCAGAGGCGTCTAGAGAATCTCCTAGAACGATCGGTGCCCTCCAAATCACCACTTCATTTGTCGAGCAAAGCCTCCGGCCCAGATTCAACAAGGGTGAACAATACAGCCCACAGTGATCAAACAACACCCAACATGTCGAGTCAAATGGCCCCAGATATAGACCCCGATGATGAACCATTTAGGGCAAGACCCCTTCGTCGTCTTGGGTTGGAGCATTTTAAAATCAACCCGGCTAGAAATCAAGGGCTTGATTACGCATATGATGCAGTTGTCCGAAAGAAAGACGACCGCAAATGCATATCAGGCTGTACTCGCCCAGGCTGTTGTGGGGATCGGTTCCGGGCCATGGCCCGCCTTGGGGGTCTTCCCGGTAAATCTGGAGCAGGACAAGAGGAAGAAGATCAGGCAATTCTACAAGAATTTGTGGGAGAAGATACACAGTTACTTCGAAACATGACCGGTAAAGAGCGCGAAGATCTCCTGGTGGAAGCGAGAGCCAGGGCCCTGGCCAACCAATATGGACGACATCGGCATACCCACCAACGGGTCCAATCCCCTCCTGGCTTCTGGCGGACTGATATGCCAGATACACAGGAGGAGGAAGACGACCTTGAAGCTGCCAAGAGGTTGGAGAGTGAGAAAGTGGAAGAGCGATATCGAGAGGCTATGCGCCCCGGGGGGTTATGGACATGGGCGGATGAATAAGACAAACACATCTATTTGACCTGTTCAATATTACTCTACTAGAAACATATCATAAAAGATACCTGAAACTATGATTTCACTTGTAACGCATAGATCAAAGTATGTAGCTACATGTACAGCTAGCAAGTACGGAGTATGCAAAGACCAAAAGCATCGACCTCGGCCCAAGGCGTCTTGGCAAACGCGGGAGCGGAGCACGTGCCCCCCTGTAACCTCCCGAAGTCACCCCCGGATCTCGTCTCCTCTGATGCAGGCTATCTCGACATGCTTGAAGCTTAAAGATGGAAACTTTTCGCAATATCCAGAATCCAATACCTCCGGTTCTCTTGCAACCCTCCAAATGGCTTTCTATTTATGAAGACTTTGTGACCAAGAATGCCAGTTCGGTTGGTCAAGTCGAGTCAGCACTAAGATCTTTGACTTATATCATTCCAGGTGAGATGTTATTCGATCTGACCTTGCAGCTGTTGAAGAAACTAACAAATACTTTCTATCAGGGCGATACCGCGAGTCAGAGATACCCTCAGAATGTGGTTAGTGTAACATTGTACTTGCCTTTAAGCGCGCCTGCTGATATCCCCTGCAGTACACTCCGGTGTGCAGTTGTTATCGCTATACCATGACTCTCTCGTTTCGCGAGTTGTTGATCGGCTTCCGTCAACTGTCCCCCGGCCGCCGCCCACTCCCCACTCCCGGTATACCAAATACTGGGCCTTCTCGCTCCTCGCTGTATCGCCAGGTAGCGCTTGCGCTACAGATGCTCCAGTATACCGAGCTTCTCTGGGAGATGGCGGCGCGGCGGCGCGGCCAGAAAACCCGTTGGCGCGTAGTTATCTTCATTGAATTCGCAAAGGCAGTCTGCCGCTTGCTTCTTCTACGATTGACTAACTCCAGACCGCTCGTCAGTCCTCCACTCCCAGAGCGCGAGGTAGATCCAAGAACGACAGAAGAAGAGGAACCACAGAGGGACTGGAATGGAATGGACACTCCGGTCAGCGATCGGTCTTCAGACTTGAGTTGGACGATGCCTCGCACGGGACTTTCCCTTCCGTCTCTGCCCGACGTAAACGATGTGTCGAACTATCTCATCTCCAAAGTGCTTACGGCAGATGACATCAAACCCCCGAAGGCCCTCCTTCACCGGGCCACGGGGCAAGGACAACTGGCTGAAGTGCTATACATTCTTCGGCCTGTCGTCTATGCAATGGCGATGCAAAAGTGGAGAGGTGATAAGCGAAGCTGGCGGCCATGGCTTATTGGATTTGGGATGGAGTATGGCTGCCGCCAGCTCGCAAAGCGGGACTTCCGTGAACGGGTCGCTGGCGGTCTTCGAGGACTCACAGGACTTGAGCGAGAGGAATTGAAGAAGCGTGGATGGTCAATGGGCTGGTGGATGATGCGAGGCGCTTTTTACGAAAACATCACCAAGTAAGAACCCGGTCTCTGCTCTGTCTCTGGGTTTCCGTTTGAATACTGACGTGAAACAGGTCCTGGCTACACAGTTTAACTGGAAAGATGAAAGGCAAGCCATTGTTGGACTTGGTGGGCAGTGTTGTGGAAGACTATGAGTACCTTTGGGACAACTTCTACTTCTCGACTGCTACACTGTGAATTTCCACAGATGGGCCCGCATCCTTTTCACCATGATACCCAATATTTCTATGTACGAGTCTGTTCATGCTATTCCATCTTTCATTTGTTCTTAACCTTGGAATCTTGCTGTGCTTTGTGAAGCAAGCGGAAGGGGTATCATTAATGTTGACGGACCCTCCCGTTAGCTGTATGTAGGATCACCGATACACAAATTCTTTTCCCTTGCTTTAGCCTTATCATATTTAGATAAATAATTAACTATAAGGTTATAGTACAGTGGGACCTCTGAAATATTGGGCTAAACCTTTGTACCCAAATATACCGCCCTCCAAATTCTGCCAGTTCTGCCAGTCTAAAACTCCTAATATAGTTAGCGTGCAGGCACGTGATTTAGCACTAACGGTTAGCAGTTAAAAGGTATGTACCTAAGGAGGCTATTAAAAAAGACCACTAAAAAGACATTTAAAAAGACTACCTACGAAACCATTCGGCTGACTATATATTCTTACAGTAGCATGTTCAATAGGGAGGCGGTATTTATGACAGTATCTAACAGGCAGGCGGTATGCAGAGCGGTAAAATGTAGGTACAAAGGTCTAGCCCAATATTTCGGAGGTCCCACTGTATTAGTTCACCTTGGTTCCTATTGTTTATTAAACGTTATTATAGACAAGATAACGTTATACTAGCAAAAAATAAATAATAAATAATAAATAACCGTACGGGCCAGGAACAAGGCATACATTCTTGCCTCTAGCCATGAATCCCAACTTGTTTGAATATAGTACTAGCCAGTCGATAAGATCAAGTAATACAACACATATTCCAAGGTTATATACCTACCTAGGTACATATGTAGGTAGTCAGATGACAAGAACCTTTTTATCAGACCCTCAGCTTCTCGAGATCCACGCATGTATTGGGAAGTTTCTACATATGAGTGGCCAGGCGGAGGCCATTGACAAAGTCCTCGATATTTTTGAAGATTGTGAAGGGCTTGCCCCGAGTGGAAGCACCAATCTCCAAGACCTTCTTGCAGCCAGCAGTCTCTCACTACTTACCAGCGACTGAAAATGTTCTATTATGTTTCATGTCTTGCTAACTTCCATGCTTTGTTAAGTTTCATGTCTTATTGGCTTTCGTATTTTATTAAGTTTCATGTCTTATTAGCTTTCATGTTTTATTAAGTTTCATGTCTCATCACGTTACATGGAGCATTCGCATTCAGAGAACCTCGTTTTGCCTGTGGCCATACCAATCCCGTAGTCCAACTTTGCCCGTGCTTTTCCCGGGAGCTGATGATAATAAGAACTCATCTAGCCGATGTGCCCCTTCCTCCTCATCGTCGGGCCAATCGACTCGTGCTCCTCCTTTCATTTCAAGCATCTCCTTCGCAGTGCCCCAGCTGAATCGACACTCATTGCCCCATCCAAACACAGGGTCCATGTTGCGTCGAAGCCATCCGACGCACTTAGAGTCCGAGGGATAACCACTTCCCCAGGTCTCGGGGGTTGGGCTAAGTGATTGCTCAGCCTGAAGCACGGCCTCATACATAACTTCCAGTGCAACGTCCCGTGTCACCTTGGCTGCCACACTGGCGGCGCTGACACAGGGATACAAGGAGTCGGCCTTCTTTGCCACTGTGATTTTGAGAGATGGGAAAATTCGCTCCAACTTTTGCTGGTATGTAGCGGGGTTTCCAATCGTGTCAATGTATACTTCTCGCACGTCCACTCCACGGTCTTCAACCACCCCTCGAATAATCTCCACCGTGGCATCCATGGCCTGGGCATTCAGATTGTACACTGCAGTGGGTGATCTCATCATGCCGGAAGAGATGTCGCGCGCCGAAAGTACTTTGATCGCATATCCGCAGGACTCGAACAATGAGTCTCCTGGTGTATTCAATAGATGCATCAAGTTTGCCCGCACGGTGGGTGTAAGAACTTTGCTGTCATCAAAGCTGTGTTTCTCGGTCAAAAGCGAGTGGTGGAGATCAAGAGGGAGATAGAAGGCACCGTACACCATTGGCCCTAGGACTGGACCACGGCCGGCTTCATCAATGCCCAAGACACAAGGTGTACTCTCAACTGTATCATGAATCGTGGGTGGGATCTCTTGGGGCGTGATTGCTCTTGGACATGGGGTGTAGTACGCGTAGGATTCGCCGGAGAGAAGGAGGTCTGAAATCACACTAGGAGGAATAAAAGTGGACGAATCCTTGGGAGGATTGACAGGGGGGTAGCATTTGTCATAATAGGCATATAGAAGATCTTGAAAATGCTTTGGAAAAAGAGAGACAAAAAGAAAAAGCCAGCGTTGAAAGGTACAAATGCAGAAGATCCCGAGTGCAGAACGCGTCGACCGTTCGGGATTAGCGGGGGCGCGTGTTGCTCTTCCCGCCTAAATTCCGCATTCCTCCCCTCCACCTTGTGTCTGTTTAGACGCTCTTGGATCACTCCTTATCTTTTGATTTCTATTCCATCTCGGTGCTCAACTTTCAATATGGCGCGAGGGCCCGGAAAGGCCCGCGACTTCGACTACTCCAATGTGGGAACCACGGGAAGGTGAATATATCGTCAATCTTGTACTAGGACCTCTATACTGAATACATTTAGGCGCACTGGCATATCTCTGAAGGAGGGTCGTCGCGACGAACATGGAATGGAAGAAGTTGACGGTCTCTTCTCATCTCCTGAAAAATCGCCAGTGGAGTTGAATGGGTTTGAAGATGTGGAAGATAACTCTTCAGGATCCGAGGGCATGTCAATAGACGAAGGTGGGCTGATTTAGCGTCGCCTTATGTTGCCGACTCATTGCGTGCTGACGCAAATTCTATAGGCAATGCGCCAGATCCCATAGACTTCCTCAAGGGCACAAATGGCTCACGTACCTCTTTTCTTCCCCCGCCTGCCGCGCGATCGCCGATGAAGACTGGCCTCACGGGTTCTCCACGGAGGACACCGGCGTTGCAATCAACACCAGACCCACAGGATATTCTCGAGTCGTCTAGTCCGTCTGACGGCATAAGTTTTGCGGGCGCACAAGGAGAATCGCACCAAGATCCGTCTCCTCTTTCTACTCGCTCAGTCAACGTGGGACGCTCGAACCAGAGGAATGGCACACGGCAAAAGCCCACGGCAAAAGCAGAGCTAGCAGCAGAATTTGAGCCCGCGGTCATCCATGACTTTTCCGACTTTTCTGACGGCGACGGCGATGAGAACACGAATGCATTCACCGCGGTACAACAAGATTTTGGCGACAGTCTGAATGTCGATTCTGGTTCAGTTGCTGCAGAGGAGCTACCCGATTCTCCTAGACAAGACCAACATGATAATGACGACAATTCATCTACGGCCAACACGACTCCACCTCGGGAAGAACCCATTGTGGCCTCCAAGTCAACAAAGAAGGCCGGGCCAAAGACCGCCAAGGCAGACAAGAGTCAGGCAAAACCCCCTGCGCCGCGCGGACGCCCAAAGTCTCAGCGCCGTAACGCCGAAGAAGATGCAGACCCCAGGCCAACCAAGAAGCGGAACACACCTAAAGCATCCCCACCAGTGCGTGAACCTTTGGAACCGGAATTGGATCGAGTGGTTGAGAACTACGCCAACCGCACAGGGCCTTTAAAGGGCCGGAGCTTGTATATCCTTAAACGTGAAAATCCCTCCGACAACAGTGCAACGCACACTCGATCTGGGCGTGTTTCGGTCCGACCACTCGCATACTGGCGCAATGAACGATGCGTCTTCGGTGATGGGGAGGCAGCCGAGGGGCATCGATACCCTCTTTCAACCATCAAGGAAGTCATTCGCACCGAGGAGCAAGAGCCTGAGAAGAAGAAAAAGAAAGGGAAACGCTCAACATCCCACAAGTCTAAGTCTAAGAAACAAAAGGATGACTCTTCAGACGATGAAGATGTTGATCTCTGGGAGAAGGAAGGCGGTGTTCTTCATGGCTACACCCTCAAATGGGACGGGAAAACACAGACGAGCTCGAAGGAGGAGGAAGTCCTAGGTATGAACCAACCCCTTTATAGTTGGTTCCTTTACTAAGTCTCTTGATACAGACATTGCGTATGCTCCCTCTGGAATCGAAACCAGAGAAGTCAAAGACTCAACATTCCGATTTGCGAAACTGCTTAGCTCGTCTTTCATCGGGTCTGGAGTTGTGGAGCTCCCACCTGATGGAGTCAAGAAACCCAAGAACTCGAAGAAAATGCATATGGTCTTTTATGTCTGCCACGGGCGTGTTCAAGTGGATATCTCAGGCGTCCAGTTTAGTGCCGGAAAGGGTTGTGTTTTCCAAGTTCCTCGTGGTGAGTCTCATTTCCTCTGGCTTCTTGATTCGTATTAGTTTATTGACACCGGGATCCTATCTCCAGGTAACTATTACAGCTTCGCAAACACCCATCAAAAAGAGGCTCGACTTTTCTTCACCCAAGGCTGTGTGCCTGATGAGAACGAGAACGAAGACGACACAACCCAGATGTCTCAGGATGTCGGCCCTGAGAGCGAATTTGAAGCCGACACTCCCACTGCTCCTGTTCATGTCCCTGCTAAGAAAGCCAAGGGTCGCCCCAAGGGCAAGCAGAAGAAGACTGGCAAATGATCACTTCCATTAGCTCTGCCCTCCACTCCTGTTCTCATGTTTGTAGGCATCGACAACGCGCCATGATACCTTTCTTCTACGTGGATACCCTGAAATTTTACTCTATGGGCGTCTAAATGTCTTTTATTGTTATTCGTTCTTCAGCGGTTTGTTTTCATACAATTACTAGGGGAATTTGGCGTTTTTTTCCGCCTGTTTTTTTTTCCCAGTTAATTATGCAGTATCTATTGGTGATAATTGGTGATGGGAGAACAGATGAGAGAAGCTGGGAATCAGAGCCTCCTTTACTCGAAAATATCGAAATGTGTATTCCTTCAATATATACCCAGAGTATCAGATCTCTTCCATTAGCTCATCCAGGTCGTCATCTAGACCCAACGGGGGAAACTCTCCGACCTCGACCTTCT